GTACTCTTCGGATCCTTCATCAAAAATCTCGCTGAAAGCTTCAAGCTTCGAACCCGGAGTTACACTAAAATATAAATTTGCTATATTTCCCGATCTATGCTAGAACGTTTACAAGAATCTGCAAGTCCAGCGCAGAAATAAATCCTTTTCAAATCTAAATTCATGTCTAGGTGCATTCGCAGGACACAAGGAATGCGAGATTTGCATTAATAAATAAATCAAAGCCTTAACATGTAAATCTGAAGGAAGTGTCGACATTTAAGTCGTGATTTAATCATAGGAAATTGCGCGTGCATCTTAGATGTTATTAATTGATTCGTTGGTCGAAAATAACGTGATTAAGACGTCTTACAATACGGTAAAGCACTGAATCGAAAATTAAGCAATTTGGAACTTTGATACACACAAACCCTACAATTATTAAGTTGTAAACCGGCGATCCAAAATTAATAAACGACAATACCTGGGTGCAGACGAGGGTGTTTAATTAAAACCTCCGGAGGAATCGTCGGGATTGCGGGTCGAGGGAAAAAGAAACGGCGATTTTTTTAAAATGGGGCGCCCTTTGAGTGGGCCGAGGTAATACATTAACAAATTGCCGTAGTCCCCGCATTAATAGTTAACACAAGGAATCAAACTCGGCAATAAGACAACACGGGCAATCCTTCCTCAAGAAGAGGATCATAAATATTTCCTTGTGCATTGTAAATAACCCTAAACGCGCAGACTACAAACTTATGAATTATTTCACTTCATTTATGCAATATTAAAGGTGCAATTTGAATAGAACTCGCTCTTCTATGCCAATCCGTTCGGTAAATAATTCAATTGTTTGAGAATGGCCTGAGAAATGGTGCCTTGGATGTATTGTTCAATATTAACATTTCTGTTTAAAGTACGCTCTAAAGACGCTAATTTTATATCTCGGCGCGACGTCGTTTATACGTCACTATTTTAATCATTTATTTAATAAACTACCCGCTTTCATATTGTTCTTTGGGATTTAATTCGCACATACATTTCCTTTAAGAAAGTCAAAGCGGTTTAGTTATTCATAAGACAGGCTCTTTGAAGTCGGAAAGAAAATGAGCGGGCTTGCAACATGTGCATAGCATTAGCCGGGTTTATTCTTACCCCGAATGCGCCGTTTTTTCGCGAAAAAATCGAAAAATAATCCTCGCTCTAACAATGTGGCTTTTTTCAGATCCGTATCTCTACAAATACGTCATAAAATCTCCATAATTAAATAGCGAACATATTTAACAAATTTGTATTCTGACCGGAACGGAGCAATTATTTTACATTTTAAACACATTTTTATTTAAATCAGTTCTGTAAACGTAGCTACGGGTGCGGAAACAAAAAAAGAGCGTATATTGGTCGTTTTCGTCGTCGGCGTAATTCCCGGTTGTGGGACAGCCTGTACATCTGTTAACGTCGGCTACAGGATGTCCCGAATATGTACGTCTGTAATTACCTCGATCGTTTATCGTACGCGAGCAAGCGTACTCGATATTGTAAATATTAATTTATGCATTTCTTCCAAGGCTGCGACGATAAATTTCGTGTACTTTATAGCGTCGACGATTAAATTTTCAAAGCAAGTACCCGGTTGACAAAAATATCATTTATGGGCTATTAACGAAGATTTTTATCTCACATTTTAATTACAAAATATCTTACAACGTAATTTATATGTTAAATAATCGATAAGTTATTAAAATGCGTGCCCACGATCCTGTTTCTCTTTCAGCAAACACACTAAACATAATTTTAATTATAATAATATTTCTCGGCGGAATTTAATGAAGGAGCTATAAAAAATAACCAGTTTTAAGGCGACTGTTAATGAGACACTTTTCAATTAAGTTTTGATACATTGAACGGAGTTTGAACGGCGGCTTTGTTGGTGGACGTATTTTTAGGGGAGGTGGGAACAATCGCTTTGTACGGACAGAGTTCATTTTTGGCGAGTTCTGAGGGAATAATCAATTTGAAGCAACTGGTTCTAAGCTTTATTAGGCTTTTAGACGCAACAACCAACAAAAATTAACGAAATCGCCAAATCGACACACAATAAAACTAAATTCTAAATTAAAATTATTGTATATTGATAGACTAGCAGTTAATAGTGTTTTGGTTTTTACCCAATAAGCATAGTTTAATTTTACATTACATATGAGTCGTAGTCAACTGATAAAGACTGCGTTATCGCACCCTAGGGACTTCACTTTGCAATATGCGCACTGATATCTAAACTATTCATTCTTTTACATAATCGTTGTCATTACTCTACACGAGATTTAATTAGTCTAACGATTTCTTTGTTTATGTTCAAACTGGCAAGCACAATGCACGTGATAAACATAAATTCAGCAGAAATTTATCGAATGGGTCATTATTATTATCTTTGATTATGTGCGCCATTACTTTAAAATATTTAATTTGACACGTCAGACTGGCGCGCCACTTTTGTTATGAGTAACGTAAGTTTTATTTTAATTAGCAATTTTTATGATTCATAAGTGGAAGATTGATCGGATATTATATGACAGTCGATTATTTTTTTATGTTGGAAACCACTATTTCATTTTATGCAAGCTCCAAAATATTCAATTAATTTTTTTCGTGTTTGGCTACTTGCCCCATTAAAACTGTACTTAGAAAATATTTTGAAGGATCTATAAATTGTGTAGATTTTTATTTGTTGAAGTCTGCAGCGTTCTTGACAAATGTAGTGCAGTTAACCAAAATTTGTCTGTTTATGCTCCCCAAGAAATGAATGACGTTTAAATTGACGATTGGTTTTACTTCTCTAGAAATGCTAACTCATTAATGTTTGTGTTTGTGTTTCCTTTTTTGGTTAACACAGATACTGCGATACTAAAAACTTATCATCACCTCTCTTTATTTAAACGGCAGTCTGTACAACAAACCGGCTAATGTTATTTTGGTCATTGGAGTGCTGTTTCAATAAAAAGAGTCGATATTAAGTTTTTACTACCACGGTATCAGTGTTAACTGAAAAATGAAAAATAAACGAGTGTTTACCATGAGGTACTTCTTAATTTATCATAAAATCGCCGACAATGTGGATTGAACATGCCATTTTCGTAGGAGCAAAAGCGAGGCTTTTTTCTGACCTTTTTTTCTCATGGTAAAAGTGGAAACTCATTATGAATCCAAGTAGTTTTTTCGCTGCCTGGAATCGAAGTTCGTAATTTCAGAAAAAGCGAAACTTTAGTGGCTGCATAAATTTCCATGTGTGTTATAAATAGTTTTGATTTGGTAAATTTATTTAAGATCTAAGATTTACGAGGGCAAAATCAGGCAATCTCTACCCCTTTTCCAACTGTATTTCAGATAAAAGGTCAGTTGTAATTCAGATTAGTCAACTGTTTTCAGAAAATATCAATTTTAATTCAGATTACAATATTTTTATTCCAGAAAATGTCAAAAGCACTCGAATGAGAGGATACACAAAATTAACGTAAGCCTAAATTTGTTGAAATATTTACGTTCTGTACAATAATATTTAATGTCACATTGTCACCCTCCAATGCCAAAACCGCATTATTATATAATACAATCCTGTGCCGATGGAATTTTAAATTATGTCTAGAAAAAGTTGGTTCTTAATTAAGTAAAAATTAGAACTACAACTGTAATTTTCTGAAATAGAATTTATTTGATTGATGATTTTTGAAATAAAAGTGGAAATCGTGTAGTTGCTTAAAAACTTTTTCGTTACTTTCATAAACGCGATTCATGTCTTATTTTCTCTAGAACTGGGGCCCAGGATTTATCTTGATTTCTAGTTTAAAAATTAAAATAAGCAGCGTGACATTTTTTAATTTAACAGTTAGTTGTCCACGGAGACACAATAAAACCCCGGAATTAGCATGAACACGTTGCTTTGTAAAGCTAAAAAATGGATCAGTTGTTGTGTGTAAGAAACGTCAACTGTTCAGACTTTCCACAAGATAATAGTTCTACCTGCTCTCCACATTAAGTAAGTTTGTAGTTACGTTTTGGGACGTGATAGCAGAACCAGTTGCTAATTTGTAGCATCTATGGATCCAATGTAATATAACTAGTATTCAGACTGTTAGTGATTTTTTAGTGTTGGGTTGTGTAATTATTTAACATTTTGTGCTCCAAATTTACAAAAGCACTTCTCTCAGATTTTAAATTATAAAATCTAGCGAGATATGTTCTTCCTAGTGCACCGTTGTACTGCTAAAAGTAGGGTATTTTAAGAATTTATAATCAATTAAAAATTAAAAGTCCCGTATTCGGTCTTATTCCTCCTAGTACGTTTTATTACAAAAAATTTAGCCGCGGCTAAATTAAATCAGAAATTCAAGATTATTGTAGCCACCATTTGGTGTTAAAAAAAAGAACCACATCCTACCCTCGTGGTAATTTTGATTTTTTTTTTGTAAAAGAAACCAGATATTTCTCGAGTCTGCCGCGTCCTCCCACAATTCGTTTTTTCTTGTAAGAAAACCGTCGTCGCGAGCTCTCGCTTCCCGCTTTCTCCCGTCCCTCGCGTCTTTGCGGTGACCAAAACCAACCCCCATCCGCAGCCTCCGGCAGTTCCTTCTTCCCCCCGGCGAGCTGCTCCCTCGTCCGTCGGTGGCGGCGCCCCGGGTTCAGGTGTCGATGGTCGTATTCGTATCGGTGTTGGTAATTAGGCTGGCGTGGCGGTGATTGCCGCGCGGCGGCCACGCGGTCTTGTGGGTGTATGGGTGGGGTAGGGGCGGTCTCGTCCGCTGGAGGGGGTAAGGCGTGCGCGGGAGGCGGCGGCCTCGACCCTCCTGCCGAACCCATCGCCGTACCTTCGTCAGTCAGTGTCAGTATCGCCGCTGTAGTCGTCGTGTCGGTGTAAGCAGCAGCGTTTCCGATAGAAAACACGTGAACACGTGCTCGCCGCCCCCAGCACTTAGACATTAGAACTCGAGGAGATGTGCGTGTTGTGAAGTTGCGGACTTTTGCAGGCAGGCAAGCAAGATGCAGCACAACACCGGGTCGCCGCAGCAGTTCTGCCTCCGCTGGAACAACTACCAGTCGAACCTCACCAGCGTCTTCGACCAGCTGCTGCAGAGCGAGAGCTTCGTCGACGTGACGCTAGCCTGCGACGGGCACTCGGTGAAGGCGCACAAGATGGTGCTGAGCGCCTGCAGCCCCTACTTCCAGTCGCTCTTCTTCGAGAACCCCTGCCAACACCCCATCGTCATCATGCGCGACATCAAGTGGCCCGAGCTGAAGGCCGCCGTGGAGTTCATGTACAAGGGCGAGATCAACGTGTCGCAGGAGCAGATCGGGCCGCTGCTCAAGGTGGCCGAGAGCCTCAAGATCCGCGGCCTGGCCGACGTCAACGGCGACCAGGAGATCGGCGGCGAAATCACGGCGCGCTCGCTGCCGAAGGTGGCCACGCCGGCCGCCGACTGGGAGGGCCGGCCGGAGGAGGGCGCGCCGAGGAAGAAGCGCCGCCGGCCCTCGGGGGAGCGAAGCAGCCTGAGCAGCCCGGCGGAGAGCGCGGGCACGGAGGCGCCGGACCCGCCGCCCTCGGTGGAGATGTCGCCGGCGCCGCCCGCCACGCCGCTGGCGGCGGCCGTCTCGACGGAACCGCTGCCCCTCACGCTGCCGCTGCAGCAGCAGCCGCAGGTCACGCACCAGGGGGGCTCGGACGACATGGAGATCAAGCCGGGCATCGCCGAGATGATACGCGAGGAGGAACGGGTAAGTGGCGGGAGGGGACGGCAAGCACGAGGTGCGGCACGTGGCGATGGCGGCGGGATTTCGACCGCCGCCGCCGCCACATGAATAAGAATCGCCTGTTTTGTTCGGGGGGCGGCGAAAAGTAACCACTTTCGACATGGCCACTGGATAACGCACGAATCTATTTTGATCGGCCACTGGAAATTGATCAGTTTAAAAATAGCGATTTTGGATCTTTAATACTTAAGCAGCTGTTGGTATCGAGGTTTTATATTGTTATCATACAAACAGAACAGAGAAAATAAAAAAAAAACACAAACAAAGCCAGAAAACAATGAAAATTTCTACAATCTTTGGAAGTTTGTCTGCGAAAACGTTACTTGTTGCAGACGAGTACGAAAGTCTTCATAGATCCTATTTTTATATGACTTCAATTGCATATCTTGTTATTTTTTCTTGATAACTTTATGTTAAAGAAAATTAAGCAATAGTTTAAATCAGTAAATTAAAATAACGAGCGAAGACAAATTTTGAGTCTAATGCTTGATCGATACGATTGTGTAGAAAGTCATTGAGTTGTCAAAATCTTGACGTTTCGGTCCAAGTTTTTGACAGCTAGAGAGAAATAGGTTAAAAAAGTAGACCACATACTTGTGTAAACATCAAATTCTAGATGATATGGCTCCTGTACCGGGTGCTCGTTCACAATTCTTAGCGAATCAGGTTAATCTGAAATTAATAACATTCATTTCAGAATATGTAACAGATGCAAATCAACCCTTAAATATTTTGGGGGATATATTTCAGGAAATAATACTGAATGAACTCTCAAGTTAACGTTGTTTTTTTTTTTTTTTTGTATTTCAAATTAAATAGAGGCGAACATTTCGCCTGATCCATCTTTAAATATTCATGACAATATTGTAGCGCTTTGTTCCGTCAGTTAAAAAAAGTTCAACTTTTGGTACTCTTATAAACTAGAGGAATACTAAAATTGTATTATTATTATTATTATTTATTGTATTATTATCATCATTTCTGAAAACTTATTATACCTTCTTCGCTGAAAATTTCGCATATCTTCAGAAAAATATTTAAGTTGTTTTAAATAGATATGACTTTTGATACCAAAATTAATGATTTTTTGGTAAAGAAATCTTCACATTTTTCATCAATTTTTTGAAATGGAAGTGAATTTCAACCGATTTAAGCTATTTATGTGATCTTGTTAAAATGTTGATGACGTCAATACAAAATTTTGTTACGAAAAATTCACTTGAAACAGACGCATAGCATGCTCCTTCACCTATCTTCACAGTCCACACAGATTTAACGTATAGGGATTGTAAAAAAAATTTAATTCGCAAAGTCAAATTTTGTAATTTTAAGACCCTGTATTTATTGGAGTGCACTTCCGAAAGGAGGGAAGTTCGGTCGAAATAATGTTAGACAATTTTTTTTTGTAGTAACAGATGACACATGAAAAATCTTTTATACAGTTCGTAGTAGGTTTACATTTTAAGTATTTGTTTTGCTGATCACTGTAAAATTGGTTTATTGGAGGTAAAATTAAACACAATTCCGTTAATAACCATACTTTCATGGTAAAATTTCTCATAAATGCAGTAAATTACTAATATATGAAAAAAATACTGTGAATACTCGTATTAAATAGCTCAAAAATGGTAAAATTAAAAATTAAATTTCAATTTTTGCAAGGTAAACTTAAATTTTACAGTCACCCATTACAACACCTAATTATGGGACAACATAAAAATAAATAACATTGAAAAAACCTAATTTACAAAATTGATTGGGTTAAATTTACTTAACAAAATATTATTATTATAGTCAGGAGTCATTAATTAAAAGTAGGAAAAGTAAAGGACCTAAATTGGAGCTTTGAGGCACCCAGGAAGTTGTGCAGTTTTTAATTTTTACTTTCGATGATTATCGAACATAGCAAGTCGTAAACATGCACAACGTGTCAATTGTCCTCAAGTTGGCGCTCGACCAGCAGTCAAACGGGAAATACGAAACCCAGCTACAGGACGATTTTTGTTACTTACGCGTAATATTTCGTACGATAAGCTAAATTTGAGCCCGTGGGAGTCTATGAAACAATTAGACTTGTCATAAATTTATTTATATGATTTAGGAGATGCTGAATTAAAGCAATGTGCGTCATTACTAGCTTACGTAACGCAACTTCAATAGCGTAATAAGCTTTTTGATGTCTAGCATCAGACCACGGAAAAGATCATAATAATGAATTAAAGAAAAGTATAATGTATATATTTATAGAACGAATAATATTACGCTTCTAGGTGCGCAGATACACGTGTTTGGTAACGGTATTTTTTTCTTAACGTTTTAAGCAAATTATAACATTTATTGATAATCTATTCTAGAATGTTGTGTAGTCGTGGAATACCCTAGTAAAGCATAACCCATTCTCTTGATGTTGTTACACGTAATGTGATGAATCAGAGAAGCTACAGCTTTGACATAAGTGGCGTGACCCTTATCACGGGGGACATACGGGCGAAAACTGCGACAAGCTCGATGAATAAAGCCACTTCTTTAAGCTTTGTACTGCACTAAATTCGTCTTGAAAATGATAATAATAATAATAATAACGACGACAGCGTGCCCAAATGCGAGAAAACGCGCCACAAACGGCCGTCTAAAAATACCTCCTTGGTTAAAAATACGAACGTCGATGGTATAGAGCCGTCGAAAGGGAAAACTCCTCTGTGGTTTAGTCGAGAGCATTTCTTGCTGTGATATCCCCCGCTGAACTGCCAGATGTCATCATGTCGACCGAGTCTCGGTCTTTTGATGCGAACGACTCGCTTAGGTCAGATGCAGCAATCGATAGATTTAAGTGCAATTCAGCTCGGCTCACGTTGAATGGGGAGGCTTTTTTGTGGGTCGCGAAGGGGGTTGAATAAGGTTACTGTACTTAAATGTATGATGGAGTTCGAGTGGTCGGGATATGTTGTGGGTTTGAGTTATTGTGCGATGATTTAGTGGAAAAAGGGGGACGAAGTCGGAATTTGCTGATTTCGTGGATTCAGTTTCGAGGCGACGAGTTCGTCGCGTCTGGGGGTTTGATTTTTCGAAAAATGTGGTGGTAGCGGTCGTAACGTTTATTAGTGGACATCAACAAAATTTAACCGAACATGAAATTTTACTGTCGAACTGTATACTCCACTATTTCGAAAAATTACAACCATCACCTAAATTTTACAAATTGGACGCTGCGATAAAATTTATTGCCGTTTTTTCAAATAAGCTATTGCTGGAATTTTGTGTGTAATTATTACTAAAGGTGTTATAGCTGCATAATTTGAATTTAAATAGTCGAAGGCGTCGTACCTGAGCCGCACTATTAAATTAAAATCAGTGTGCAACTAAATTTAGAAAATCAAATGGACTTTGTCATTAAAATCGCCAATAAAATTTTATCAATGTTGACATTCGCTCGATAAAATTGCCACAAAAAGTATTATATGATTTCCTACTTTCTGCATTATAGTGATTTTTAACACACCGATGAGTTCGCTGTTTTCGATTTTATCTTTGTGGGCCATCGAGGCAATAGAAAATGTTCAAACACTGTGTGAGGTGAATTTCCTTTGAAATAAACGTGATTCTAATATAGTGTGAAGAATTCATAAAATCGTACTAGAATTTTTCCTTCTTATATTAGGGGTCATTTTTATACCTGTTGTCAAATAGTGGCAATCAGATGCCTGGGTCTTAGTTTGTTTAAAAGTTGGCCGACTTTATGGCTTTACAATGTCACCCTTTTTGCATACCACGAAATAAGATTGAATGAGTGCTGCACGTGTTTCGACACCATGTCTTCATCAGACAGACGAATTTAATATAGTAAAGTCAGCTGACTTGTAGCTAGTAAAAGTTTACAGCTTTACTCACTTTACTATAAAAACTTTTCATGTCATTGGTTTCATTGTTGTATGTGTTGCAGCAAATATTTTTTATATATAGTTTAACGCCGCAATTTCAATGGAATATAAAACGTTTTATGCTATAAATTGATTTAATATTTTTAGATAACGCCTAACCACGATTGTTTTGATAAAGATTTAACGTTTAAAGATTTTATTATTTTTTGTGTTAAAATAACTGTGATTTTTAATGTTGTGTGTTACGAGGGAACATTAACTCGGTTAAAACAAAACATAAATAAGAAAATTTTACGTCCATAGATTTTTTGTAATAATTCCATAAACGATAAGTAACTGAATTTTGTTAGGTATCTATATTTGGTGTTTTATTTATTATTTTTTATTTATTAATTGTGATAGTAGGTTCTATTAAATCTCTTTTTCTTATCCTGAAAGCTATAAAATAGCGGAATTATCTCTTATGAATCAGATACTATTAGAGAGTTGATAAATTATCACAATTCAAGCTTATATATGAAACTTTACCAAGAGATTCTTATAAAACACAAATGATAAATGTTGAATACAAACATGTCTTTAATCAATCGTTTGACGTTGCCACGGTTAATTTAGTTGAATAAAAATGAAATATTATATTATCAATTTTGAGCAATTTCGAAGAGCGTAGAAAAATTGCAGAAAAAGTAATAGGGACAAAATCGATGACAGTTTCTAAATTTTTAGCATTTCAAAATTAAACATGATTTATTTTTATATTTTTACGCAAATTATTAGCAGCTTTAGGAGACATATAGACAAGAGAAAACTTCTACGAAGATTGCGTTTTCATTAAAGTCATTAATAAGATTCTTTAAACCCATTTTAAAAATAAAACGGGGGAAGTTCCACCCAAATTCTTTCAAAAACCATAGGTGCCCTTGAGATTCTTTCTTCTAACAACAAACGTCCAGAGGATTACCTATTTAAATTCTTTACAAAATAAATCACCAGGAGCTACCTACATTCTTTCAAATCTTTTCAAAACACCAAGTGCCCCGAGATTCTTTATAACCACTTCAAAAATAAACGTCTGGGGCCCTGAGA